GAATAACCTGGTGGAAATATTACTAAAAACAATTTTATTTTTACCTTATGAAAGGTTAAATAAAGCAAAACATTGCTGGTAATTCTTTTTGACTGTGTAACTTTACAAATGGCACCTCATTTTTTCAAGTGTTAGATAAAGGAGCACTTGTTTTACCCACCCAGGCTGACCAGTGTGCGTGCCACCCACAGAACATCAGCCACCAGAGCAGGGAAGATCAGAGCGCTGCTCARGACGTTCCCGTACTTCTTTTGGAACGGGTCCATCATTGTCATGTAGTTGTTTTCTCGCATCGGCTTCACRAAGAAGAAGCCTCCTGCAGAGAGAAAACTGAACAGTTCACAAAATAAGCCCGGTGATCCGCTAAAAGAGGGAACTTTACACGTTCTGAACAGAAAACTGGGGTTTCCTCTGTGACCGTGTGGACTGAGCTGCTGGAAGTGTTCCCAGACGCCCCACAGAGTTTGTTAGTTTGACTCATTCAAAGGTTACAATCCGAGCTTCGGGGTTAAACTCATCTCTCTGCACCTGTTGAATCCAGTTACAATCTAATTACTCATGGAGCTATTTTTACTKTGAGGGACATGTTTATTGGTGTTTGGAGTCAGATTAGTGTTGGGTGTGTGTGTTGGGGGAAACAAGCTGCGCTGCTGACAATAAATGCATTTTCCTGAGTTGGTTTTGTGAGCCTGGGTCACATCCTCACCTATGAAGAAGGTCAGAACGTACGGTACAGGCATGAGCGCCCAGACTGCTCCCAGCGTTGGGTTGTACGTCGCTTCAGCAATGCCAAGGATGAAACCTCCACCAACCCACGTCGCTGCGTGGAACAGAAAGGAAGAAATGTTGTTTGGTGTTATTTTTGATCAGGACATGTCTTTTAACCCCCACATTAAACATGTTAGCAGGACCGCCTTCTTCCACCTGACTATATCACTAAAATTAGAAACATTTTGTCCAAAAATGATGCAGAAAAACTGATTCATGCATTTATCACATCTAGACTGGATTACTGTAATTCTTTATTATCTGGACATCCAGAAACCTCTTTAAGAAGTCTTCAGTT